TTTTTCTTTCTTTCTTTCTTTCTTTCTTTCTTTCTTTCTTTCAATGTCAAAGTCAAACACCAGGTGGCGCGCCAGTACAATCTATCACTGCAGGTACACCTGGTACATCCGAAGCCCTGGGTTACGTCATGACGTACGGGATGTAGTCATATCTTGTAGTCGTACTGTGAAATACATAATATTAGGACCAATACATTTTATTGCTAATTTTATGAAACTAGGCAAATATACCAAATGTTTATTTATTTATTTACTTATTTTAATTTCAAGTTTGCAATGACATTTTTTTCCTGTAATAATGTTAATACTAATACTAATGCTAATACTACTAATAATATGAAGTTTAATTGCCTGTCTGTCGGTGTGCTTCCGTATTTACACACCCACAACGGCGGTGCGTGTTGCCATATTTTCCAAAACACCCTATATGTGTTTTTGAATAAAATATAATGTCAATGCACCTTAGTGCTCTCTTTAGCCTAAGGATGTATCATAATGCATTAATGTACATCATGAACTACTAAATGCAGATAAGATGTGTTCTGTTTTTCGTAGATTTTTCGTCTATTTTGTCAAGATATGGCCACTTGTGACTGCACAAAGCCTAAAAATAGTTTAATAAAAATGCGTTAAGTTTTTTTCTAGTACTTTTGCCTTTTGTGTGTGACATTTTAGGTTAGTCAATATCAGCTTAATTAGGCGAGAGCAAATATGCAAGCAGTCATGTGTGAAAACGGTCTAAATCTGGCACGTTGTCCTCACAGGGGATTTTTTTTCCAGAGGATCTGGCGCCCCGTCGTCGGTCAGTCAGTCAGGCAGCTGCTGTTCTTCACCCATACACACAAGAGACACACAGGTCTGAATGGTGAAAGGAAGGTAAAAGCGGCTACAGAATCGCCTTTTACAGCGGAATGTTCACTCGAAGGGGTTATGGAGACGTCAAGAAATCTACACAGAAAGTTCTGGACCCAAAGAAGGATGTTTTCACGCGTCTGAAGCATCTGCGCGCGCTGTTAGGTGAGTGAGAGACTCTGACAGGACTGAAACATTAACAGACATATTTCCCACAGCACGAGTTTATCCTCATTAAATCAGCCGTTTCTGTGGGTTTAATGCCACAGCGATGTTCAGATGGCCGCTTGAATGTGAAACAGGGGCTTTAATGTGCGCGATACACCATTTGTGATCGATAATGTATGGATTGAAATGATTAGCGTTAGCTAGCTTATCGTGCTACATCAACAACAGACCTGACAGCCTGTTATGTGTCAGTATATATACAAATTACATAAACAGCAGACCTGACACACTGATATGTGTGTGAATGTATATATCAAATATATGAACAACAGAGATAATACACATGTATGTCTGTGCACTATATTCAGAATATATACCAAATATGTTAACAAATGACATGTGTGTTGTTTATATTTGCGGTATAAGTTCACACATATGAGGCGTGTCATGTCTATTGTTCTATATTTGGTATGTATTCACACACATCAGACATGACACTATATACTACACTACTATATAAACAGTGTCACACACTGATATGTCTGTGAATATATTTGCAGAATTTATAAACAAAAGACGTCACACACTCACTTGTTTGCGAATATATGTGTGAGTATATACCAAATATGTAAACAATGGATATAACACCTTTTTATGGTGGTGAATATACAGAGTTTATAAACAACAACCCTGATTTGTGAATGTGTACATGATACACAAACAACAGACATGACACATACAGTAGATATGTGTGTATACAACAATAGACACTGCTATGTGTGGTAATTTGTTGTAGCCTACATTATATGAACTTATACACATTTTCCTGTAATTATGAGCTGGTTTTCTCTCAGTGCATGTGAGCTGTGTATCAATATTTTTTTAAAATAAGTGAATTCATCTGTGCTAAGTCGTGGCATTTAAATGATGTGTGTAATTTGATGCGTGTCAGTTTCTATGATCAAGTGTACTGAGCTCATCTGATCACAAGAGAAACAGGTGTAACAGCATCACTTACTCTAGTGTCTGCAAATCATCTGTGTTCAGTGTGAATGCAGTGAACTGTCACCAACTGTCGCCCTGTTTCAGAACTTCCAGGAAGTTTTTTGGGGCACCATCACTGTTCACTCACCTGTGGTGACTGACTCAGAACTTATTTATTTATTTTTAACTGCAGGCTGTTTCAGTTTTTCACTCTGTAATATATCTTAGTGAATTTTAAAGCAGTCTCGCGGGGTTCAGTCTTATTATGAACAGTTTGTCAGTGCTTTTCCTGCTGACTCATTTCTGGTTGAGTGTCAGGACAGGTGAGCAGAGGTCAGAGGCCAGAGGATGCTGTCTGTGACTTCCCGTGTGTGTTTATTAGGAGTTAGATAAAACTGGTCTGGCTCATCAGCTGTTCTTAGGATCTCATACTCTCACACGGCTGGAAGAATTTCCTCTCACAGGCTGCTTCCTGTGTGGACAGGAAATGAGGATGAGTGATAGAGCTACAGAGAAGGGCCATTAGTGGCCTGCTTTTATTTTGTTTGTTTTTTTCTCACTTTTCTGTTTTATCTTCTGTGCTGTTATTTGTTTGTTTGATTGCTTGTAATATCAAATAGGATTTGACATCAGTGTTTGTTGCATAATTGTTATTTTTAGGCCTAGTTAATGAATCATGTACAGAAAAATCTGCCTAAGTAGAACATTCACCAGTGTCCTTTTGCCCATTAAAGGAGCTGGTGTTTTAATGCTGTTGGCCAAATTGCTGGTTCCTATAAAAGCAATGTTTGCAATGCAACATGAAATGCAACATAAAATGGTTTAAATAGGCCTATTAGCTTAAGTTAAAAGTAAAATTAGTCATTTATGCACTCATAGTCAAAAATAATGATCAAAAGCGTCAAAATTGGGAATGAAAAAACAAACAAACAAAAAAAAGTGCATGGCCTCTGTGAACTGCCATATGTTTGGAAACAAAAAATACCCATAAAATGTAAAAATCAATTTAAACTTATTGGAAAAATTAATTTCTCGTATATCTCTTATACCAGCACAATAACACACTCAAATATCGTCTAATTATCGTTATAGACAAAATTCCAGAAAATATAGAGATGTAATTTTTTGTCATTATCGCACACCCCTACATTTCTCTGAACCCACCAACACAGAGAAAATGAATGCAAGGTCTGAGCTAAAATGAATTTCTGTTCCAGATACACGCTTTTCAACAGAATGTATTGTATTTAAAATGTAACATTGACATGACGGTATTCTGAATGTAGCCTTTGAAGCTTTATTTATAAAATAAATAAATAAATAAACAAGTAATATTTTCATTGTTTACGCGCAGTTGACTAGTCGGCTAGTCTGGTACATTTCTAGTAAACAGCTGCCACTTTGATGCAAACGTACCACAGTGCTGACCCAAACAATACAATGTACGTGTGTAATACAACGGTGGCACCCTTACTCGTTTTCTGTATTTTATCCATTCACAGTTTAAATTTTTTTTTTTCATGCTGCTGAGTACACACTGCAGAGTTTTGGGAGTGCAGGGCTTGACGCTTACTTTTGTCCCAAGATGCACATGTGCTCATAAGTTTAAAAAATTGCATTAAACAAAACAAAATAACAAAACAAAAACTTTAGGGGCGCAATAAGAATTGATCAAACAATGTTTTTTTCCTTAATAAAGGGATACAAGGAGACATTTACAAACAGATTGATTTAATTTATTAGAATACAAAAATTACAGTAGGTTTTTAAATATTTAAATGCAGGATTAAATCTGAAAAAAAAAAAAAAAACGTGTCATTATGTCAGAATAGATCTGTGCATTAAGTATTATAGTATATGCTAACTCTTTGAACACGTTAGTATTTTTTGACAATTAATTAAAAGTTCTCTTCACCACATGTGTTGCTGGATTTTTCTTTGTTTTATACTGTTTGTTTCAATGCACCTTGTGGTAATGTGCCAGATTTACATTTATTAGTGTATGCAAACTAACAGGCTACATGCCAATGTTTTAATGTGTAATTTATAGGGTGTGCACAAATAGTCGAATATTCTATCTGCAATAATTATTCGAAAAATAAAAACTCTATTCAAATTTCTCTAAAATGTTGATTTGCTGGCTGTAAATGCAGGGAATCCCTGATAAATCCTGAGCACGCAAACTTTTCAAGTTAAAATGAGGAATCATATGAAATACAAACACCGATACGTCTTTCCAGTGGAATGAAAAAAACAGTGGCCCATCACCGCATTCACTACAGTATTCATAGGCTTAATCGTGAAGCATACAGTGGCCCCACTTTTAACTCTCTCTTTATATTACCCTTATTGTAGATG